AAGTCTAGAGTGACTAAAGACGAATTTAAAAAAACAGAACCAGCTGGAAAAGATGAGTGACAATTAACAACAAAAAAATCACGTGGAAAGGGGAGATCTTCGATTCAGTACACTAAATGTATGCCAGTCTCTCTTTTAAAGAGGCTGCCATATGTTTAATAAATCGGTTTTACTTTGACACATATTTCATATATGTTAGTGTTCTGTGTATTTACAAATATTTCAATGAAAGTGCTTAAATATTGCCACTTACTGTTAATTTATTCTTCTGCCCTACTACAAGAATGACTTTGTCAATCCAATTACTTATCAGACTCCAACCCTGATATGAAGTGTGCATTCTCACTGTTCAGGTGTGTTGAGAAGCTGTAACTATCTTAAGATAAGAAAGATAAGATACTTAACGTTGAGTGAAACACAACAAACATATAACAAAATAAGTGGAAAGGTATGAGGGTCAATAAAAGTTAAAAACGAAACGTAAACCAAAGTAAATTGACTCAAATAAAATAAAGATGAAGTCGGATGCAAATATGAAATTATTTATTAAATAACAAAGTAAAATGTTTCAAAAATCAACAAAGGAAAAAATCTGATTTCAAACGGCTTAATGAATATAAACAGCACATATCAGATGGCCCAGCGTAACAGAGGCCAGAGCATTGTGTTTGCGTCTGTTCTCTGCTGTAACAGTGAGCGAAAAGATGATTCTCTGCTACGCAGACATGTTGTATTGTAAGGACTATTGGGTGACATATTAAAGATTTCCTGTATCAGTACTTGTGGCAGCTAACAGGCATAAAAGCTGTTAAAGACCGTCATATAGAGGCTAAATAACTAATAATGCTATAAATTAGAAGATTTCAGTAACAAGGGATATTTTTGCACAGAATGAAAGCTTGTGGTATACCACGAACTTTTCATGGCTGCCATTATACTCTACAAGTATACTGGCAGCCTTATAATGCCTGAGGCTACCTTCAGTCTCTGGTAAACTCTGATATTTAAAGCAGTTGAGTAGGAATAAACAAACAAACCTGTTCCGAACATGAAACTAAATCCAGTTTCAGTGCAAGAGTGTAGCCATACCAGAGCTGGAGGGTTCAGTATCGGCAGAATACTTCTTTCAAGGGACTGATCTCATAAATATAACCTATGCGTTCATGTTGATTATCTATTATTGCCTACAAATTTGAGTTTTTCTTTTCTTTTTTGGGGGGGGGGGAATACTGCATTATATTAAATTTCATGCCTCTAACACAAGAGGGGCAAAACTTTTTACGTAGTAAGTTTATTGTGTCATTTTACTAAACGATCTGAATCTGAAGTGCGTGGTATAAGGACTCCAGACTTTTAATAAGGTGGTTTTAAATCAGTCTTCTTGTTAATTTCCACTGCCAGTGAAATAAAAGTCATTGAGTAATGCATTAAACATGTGAGCTTAGAATGAGGGAGAAGGCCTCCCTTTCTCTGAATAGCATTGGAATTGCATTCTATCTGATGCTGTGTTTAAGGGTCCAGTGAGACCTAAAAAGAAATCAAACCTGACTGGAGATAAAGAAACATAGTATTTTCACATGGGCTTATACTTGGAAGGAAGTTTACTAACATACAAAAAATAATTAAAGATTTTATATAAAGGAAGTGGAGTAAATGAAGTAAACATAATTTAAATGTGGAAATATACCTACCTCATACAGTACTCGAGTAAATTCAATTATCGCAACTGATTATGTAAAGTGTAATAAATCAGAAATTAGAAGTAACTTCAGTTTTATTATGCTAGCTTGTGTTTCCAGTTATTAAGGTTTAATGAATGGTGATGATTTTTATCCCCATCTATTCTTTCCATACAAGCAGAGCAGCTGCAGGAAGAGCTGATATACATCAGAAAACATTGTTGTTGTTGTTTTTAAAAACAAACAAACAAACAACCTTTTCTGGCTGCATTAACTGACTTTCCATTCTTTGGAAAGTCAGTTTATCGAATAACCTGTCAAATTAATATTACTGAATCATGGTTAGTGGTGGCTCAAACAAAAGAGGACCCTTCTATCATAGAAATGTATCAGGATAAATTCTGAATGTATTTATTTGCATGAATAGTCAAAGAAAATGTGCCATATGTGCAGTTTTCACATATGGCACATATAATCATTTTGATTTTTTTTTGTACATTGCAGTTGATTGACTGAAATAAATATGACCCAAACTGTTAATTTTCACATTTTCTGTTTCTACATTTTGAATCTAAATTTCAGATTGATGTAAAAATCAACCTGAAATTTGACCTCATTCACTCTGCATTCACTCTGAAAACTTCTAATCTGGCATATTATTCTGTGGTTTGCATGTGACATTAGTTTCTGTTGATGAGTAACTTGTTCCATGCGTTAAACAGCCTGTAGCTCCTGGTACCCACACACCAAGAAGCACTGCAGAATGAATGTAAACGTTTGTATACTTATAAATACTAAATTAATTAATTATTAAGCATTTACTTCAGTGATAAAGCACAGAAACTAAGATCATAAAGAACTGTCAAATGAACATAATACCAAATGTGAAAAAAGTACTACCTGATTAGGATGAAATAATTACTAGAATGCTCAATTAATAAACAGTAGCTTTAAACTACCATCAAAATGGGTTAAAAATTGCTTCCCTAACCTTAAAGAAAAATCACTCATCTTGGGTTTCTTGGTGCCCTCCTGATCCACCACTTGAAACTGATACTTGAGCTGTCAGTTGCATTAGAATTTGCATTAGTTAGGCTAGCTAGGCATGTCTTGAACCTAGTTTTTGTGAATGCAAAGGTGCTAATGACGGGCGGGGGGGGGTTTACAGAGGGAATTCATTTGTTGTTGAACAAGTGCTCAGATGTTTCATTTTTGGGGAATAAAAAAGAAAGCTTACATGTTCTTTTGCCTACTAATGTTTAGATTAAACAGCTGATAGATGTAGCATATTGTCTGATTTGTAGTTAAATCGGGATTAACTGCATGGCACGTGTAATAAAAGATATTTAAACCTGCTCACATACTCCCAATGGGTATAAACTACCCAAAAAAGCAAAATAAGACAGACAAAAAACAAAAAACCTTTTTAACCTACATGTTTGAAGTGTGGGTTCAGTCTGTATCAAAGACTGAAATGTTTTTTATTTCCTGTAATCTGATGGAAAACATGTATTAAAATGAAGTGCATTTACATGCTGTAGCTACAAATGTCACTCTTTTGTTTACCCTCCATTCCATGCAGCTCAAGAGGGAAAAACTGCCCAGAAAAACAGACATGAAACATGTTGTCCCGAAGACACTTGTGTTTTTAACAGAACTGCATTTTAAATTTCTTGTACTGATAAAAGCTGGTAAAGACTCACTGCTCACTGTTGCACTCTTTAACTGAAACATGATGCTCAAACTTTGAAAAGACTTTCCGATAGAACATGTCTCCTCCAGCTTCTTAGCACAGACAGGCTACATGATGTATATAAAATATGGGCATGGATAAACCTGGACTCTTTCTAATGGCCAGCAGTGAGCCATTACTGAGTCAGACTCAAAGAAGTCTAAGCTATTGACTCATCAACTCTTGTGATCTGTGACCTCAGTAAACAGTTTGTGGTTTCAGTGGCTAATTTCAAGGCTTACTGAACACATCATGATGTTTACTTTTAGTTCAAAGGGAGGATAAAGCACAGTGAAACTGACCATTGGGCTTGCAGTGTCCCTCTGTTTCTCAGTAAGATCCACTCAACTTTAATCATGACTGAGTTTAAACACCAAGATGCTGACAGTGAAAAATCTCAGCCTGAGTTCTCTGCTGCTCAGTTTTCTCAAAATCCTGTGCTTTAGTTGGTATTTGATGATGTAAAGACAAGAGATCAGTAATTAACTGTCCTGCTTTTGACTACTTGCATCTGTTCTGTGTCTGCTTCAAAAGGTTAACTATATATTTTATACTTGAACCAGAGCAGGATGATGCATTATGATGCATTCAGGGAAACAGCCCCCCCCCCCCCCCCATCTGTTGCCTCTCTTTCCGCTAGGCTAATGACCTACTGGCTGCCATCTTTACATGTGACCTGTTGTCTTATGTAATGTTTTAGCATTTAGTTAGATAAGGTTACCTTCCAAAAAAGTTGTGATATACTATTTTTATGTGAGATATAAAGTGGCATATATGGCATAACACTCTCTACTAAAATGCGGTGTAGTAACAACAATGCCCTTTGTTTGTTTTTTTTAATCAGGTTATTTATGAAAGCCTTAGTCGTCTTTCAGTTAATCATTGATTTCTTACCTATCACTTTTGTCTGACGGTTTAAAGAGAATGAACATGGAGTCAATGCCATTCTCAGTGTAAATGTTTGTTTTCTGCTGTGCAAAACCAGACTTGGTCTTGGTCTCCAAGCTTGATCAAGAGTAAGCTTCAAAGCACTGACTGCTGCTGTTTCAGCTGAGCTACAATTTAATTAAGTTGTCCTGGTGATTTTTAAAAAGACTGATATTTTTTGTCTTCCTGTATTTAACAACACAAAAGTCAAACTGAGTTCTAAATCTTTATGAAGTATCATGAAATAGGTAGAGCTTTGAGGGCAGTCCCTGCGAGAATCTGACATAGTTTCTAATCATTTTGAAACTTGACACTAGCTTTAGTTTTGTCAAATTGTAAACTGCAGTAAAAGTATCATGTCAGCTGGTCAGTGCATTCACTCCATGATGCTACCATGTGAAAGAACACATCAGACTATACATTAGAGTTTGACTGATTAGTTTAAGGCAGGGCTGCCCAATCCCAGTCCTCAAGAGCTACTATCCTGCAGCTTTTAGATGCAGCCCTACTCCAACACAGCTGAATCAAATGGTTTGATTACCTCTTCAGCATGCCATCATGTTTGGCAAAGGCCTGATAACAAGCCATTCATTTGATTCGGGTGTGTGGGAACAAGGATGCATCTAAAAGCTGCAGGACGGTAGCTCTCGAGGACCGGGATTGGGCACCCCTGGGTTAAGGTATGGTTCGAGTGAAGAACAGATTGCAGTCTGGGTGATCTGGTTTAGAAAGTTAGACACAGATTAGAATGCTCGTTTGTTGTTTTCACCTTTCACCAACTACAGCACCCATTGTACATGTGTACATGGGTGCTGGACGATGCTTCAACAGAAACCAGAACAGTTCTACAACAACAGCAGTCTGACACTGCATATTACCATCAAGGTCTAAATTCCCTCACTCCACACCACGCATGAATTGATTCCCTGAATCCAGGAGAACATCTGGATCTGAAAGCCTGTGATATGTTCTTGACAACCTCAAGAAAATGTCTCACAATTTTGCTTATTTCAATTTGATATGTATTTCAAAAATGGTAAATAAATCTTTGGTGAATTTGTTGATTAGGATTGCGTCCAAAAGTCACATTGTTATTCAAACCTTTTTTTATTATAATTTTTTTAAATAATCTGACAAAGAAACTAACTAAAAGACACACAACACCAATTAATTTCCCTGTTGAAGCTAATAATAGGGTAAAATGTTTGAAAGAAGACACTTTTCTAGCAAAAGTCAGCTCTGACTATTTCAGATCTTTCTGAACAGAGAGCACAAATGCTCAGAAACAGTCTTTTCTTGGTTGGAGATACTGTAACGGCATTTTGAATCAGTGACTTAGGTGATTTATGGTCTGATCAATAATGCAGGGCCCTGTCTGTTCACTCAGCTGTTTAAAGGTCCATAGTTCAGAGGGACTCAGATAAACGGGGTCTCTGTGTCTGCAGTTCAATATTTGTGTTAACCTTGGCCAGTCTCTTTGCTTGAGTAAAAAAAAAAAAGTATCATAAGGTTTCTGTTTTATGATCATCAGATATTGTTGATGGTCTTTTAAGTTTACTTTCCTCTTCTGTATGCAATCATGATCAATCTACTTAAAGGGCTAATTATTTGTATTAAAATGTTTAATATTGCTTGGATAGTATCATGGCTAACTTTTTAAGGATTCTTTTTGAAAACATTTTTTTCTTTATCTTTTGGTGGTGATTTGTTGAGATGTTTGAGAAAAAAGGGGAGGGTGAAGAAAGATTTCTTTTCAGGTGTCCTATAGTTTTCCATTTAAAAAGTAATAAATTGGCAACCACAAACCAAATTAAAAAAAAAAAAACTATAAAGGAAGAAATGTATTTTCTTTGTTCTTAGTTAAAATGGGTATTTTATTTTCCCAGAAGATGGTGTCTTCTCATAGTGTCTCACAGTAACCTGGCATTTCAGTGTTACAGAAGTGGCGTTGTCATGTTTGATTGTATGTGTCTAATGTGGGATTTTTTTATTTTCTTTTTTCCAGCCCGTAGCTTCAATGTTCACAAAGCTGAAAGCATGATCAGGAAGGTAAGTTCTGTGTTGTTCAGACGGTGAGAGCCTGTTTGCTCTTCAAGTACCCAACTAACACCCAACACGTATTTCTACCTGGTGCTGCTTTTCAAATCTCTGTACTAAATGTATTAAATCCATTAAAACTGTATTTACCTTTTAGATATTACATAAAATGACGAGTTTATATAACACAGTGCAATGTTAAAGATTAATCCAGTGTTTGATTTGTGGCCCTCTTTCTAGGGAATTTAGTTAGTGACTCTTTTCATGTTCAAGGACAAAGTAATATAGGACAATGTATAGTAAAGTAAATTCATGGAATTAATGGATCAGACTTTATGCCTATAGTTTTAGGGAACCTAGTGCACATATTTCCAGCTATATATCTTTTCAGAATTCACAGTTTAAAATAATCCTCATTGTGATTGGCTGAGTGATAAAGTGATAAAGGCACAGGTGAGTTGGGCTTATGAAATACACAACCAGAACTGTGTAGTTGAGATGATCATATTAGTGATATCTGCTCTCACTGACATCAAACAAATCCAAGAGTGGAAAAACTTAGTGAGCACAATGCTCTGCCCTCAGACTGTTCTAAACATTCTGCTTTCACTGAGGTTACTTAATGGACTCTTTGTCTGAAATTCTAGACATATTTAATATAAGCAGCCAACCATTGTAACAGTATATACTGTGTATATGAAACAGAAAATAAAGTAAAGCATGAAAAAAGCTTCTTCCATTTCAAAACATGAAATCATTTCTAGAATAATAGCTACAGAGTGTCTTTGACAGCTGGAGCATTTGTGGGGAAACACATTACTCTGTGTTTGCCTGGTTTTTGTAAGCTTTAGTCTTTAACTTACCCAGCCCTGTTGTCTTCGACCTCTGCAGCATGTGGTGTTTAGGGAACAGATGAAAGTAGACACCATCCTATCTGACTGGAAACCTCCAGAGGTAACCTACTGCATTTTCTTTTTTGCTAATATTTGTGTAAAAGTAGTCTGAAGTGAGGATGAAGGGGACTGTTGTTAAATGAGCAGTCTTTCAGACTCTTTAGTTTTTGAAGGTCACATTTTTTTTCTTTATGAATCCATCTCTCAGGTGATTGAGAAGTATGTATCTGGAGGGATGTGTGGCTATGACCGTGAGGGAAGTCCAGTCTGGTACGATGTGATTGGCCCTCTGGATCCTAAAGGTCTGCTGATGTCAGCCACCAAACAGGACTTCCTGAAGACTAAGATCCAAAACACAGAGATGCTACGGCAGGAATGTCAAAAACAGTCTGAAAAGGTCAGCCAGGAGTTCTCTGTTCTTCCCTTTCCACTCCTCTCTGCTCGTCTCTTCTAATGTTACTGTGTCTCTCTCTCAGTTGGGGAAGTACATTGAATCCATCACTCTAATCTATGACTGTGAAGGACTTGGATTGAAGCACATTTGGAAACCTGCTATTGAGACCTATGGAGAGGTTTGTTATCAGCTTTTGTAACAATCACCCACTCATACACACAAAACATCTATGTGTCATTACTGCTTTCGGCCATGTAGATCCTCACCATGTTTGAAGACAACTATCCTGAAGGCTTGAAGAGGGTGTTTCTCATCAAAGGTACATAAGACCATTTGTCTGCATATTTGATTTCCACGTTCTGTTTCAGAATTTTGGTTGATAATTTGTATCTTTTGCTGCAGCGCCCAAAATGTTTCCTGTGGCCTACAACCTGATCAAACACTTTCTGTGTGAGGAAACACGGCGCAAGATCATTGTTTTAGGAAGTAAGACAACTTTTCTTTATCCCAGTGTTTTCTGAGTCTTTACTTGATCTTGATGCTAACATTAGCATGCTGAAGTGACAAAGTACTTGCAAAAAGCAGAAACGGGATTCTGAGACCACCCATGTGAAAGCCTTCCATTACTTGGCTACGTCTAGAAATTCTGTCCATAAAAATTACAAACAGAATGGATGACAAAGGGCAGCCCTGGCGGAGATCATCATGAACTTATCGCCGGCTATGCGGACCAAGCTCTTGCAATGTTTCTATAAGGACTGAATGACCGCAGGTCTGGTGATACAATTATAAAATCGATCATCGACCTACTGCCTAGAGCTTCCTGGTGCCATGTGGACCACCATGTTTTAACTTATGCTAAAACATGGTGTTTGTTTTGGACAAACTGTGGTTTGCACAGAAATCCAACAATAAAACACAGCTTGGGTTCAGATCCAGGAGGCCATTCCTCCCAATTATGCCTCTCACCCAGGGCAACTCTAGACTAACACAGAGTCCATCCCGGCTCCAGGAGACTGGTTCTACAGCCCAAGCCGTGCGTTGAGGTGAGCCCAACTATATCTCATGAGGATGAGCTGGGACGAATCTCTGGTGGGCTCCTTCCCCGCCAGAGAGTTGACATCCCATGTCCCAATTTTGGTAGCTGGGGATCGATCCACCAGGGCTTCTGTGCTACCTGGCACACATTGCACCTGACCCCTATAGTCAATATGCAGTCTTTCTTATATTTACTATTTAGAGTTTATAATTTTACTCTTTTCATCTACACAAATGTCAACCTATAAAGGAACTAAGGTCATGAAACAAAGCAGTCTTATTAAACTAAAAAGTTTTAAATTACAATATTGTGTTTACAGGTAACTGGCAAGAAGTGCTACGTGAACATATTGACCCAGATCAGCTTCCAGTGGTGTATGGAGGAACTCTGACTGACCCTGATGGAGACCCCCACTGCAGAACCATGGTGAGAACAGAGGGAAAGACTGATTAAATACAATGCTGTTCCTCTAAAATTGGAGACTAAAGTGATGCGTGTTTTTGTGTATTGTGGTTGCAGATCAATTTTGGTGGTACAGTTCCCAAGTCCTACTATGTGCAGGATTCAGTGAAGGTTCAGTATAACAAAAGTGTGACCATCAGCCGTGGCTCTGTCATCCAGCTGGAGTATGATGTTCCTGCAGCCAGCAGCCTCCTGAGGTACAGCAGGTTTATTCTGTGTTCTCAGAACAATGAATCACTGACTTGTAGTGTGTGTTTGTGGTGATTTAGTGATATAGACTTTAAAATAAAATAAAATTTAAAAAAAAAAATACTAAAGCTGCCACTCATGATGAATTCATTATTGCTTGTCAGGTGGCAGTTTGCCAGTGATGGAGCAGATATTGGGTTTGGAGTGTACAAGAGGACTAAAGAGGGCAGCCAACAGAAGATAGCTGAAATGCAGCAAGTTCTACCCAGCGAGCGCTACAATGCACACTTGGTCCCTGAAGATAGCTGCCTCACCTGTCCTGAGCCTGGAGTCTGTAAGTAACTCACAGCTGTGTGTACAGGTACTTTTGCAGTAATGTCTGCAGAATTAGTCTGTAACAATGAAAATTGCTCATTTCATTTTGCTTCCAATGCGCCAGACTTTCTTGTTATTTTTTCTTTAAGTGGACTTGAGCAACAGTCCTCCAGCTTTCTAAAGATCTTTCAAACTCTAGTCAAAGACCGTTTATATAGGAATCCTTTTTGTTTGTTTGTTGAGGCACTTTAACAATTGACATGTGAATCATTTAAGCATATTCAAGGCTCCTAACTCAAGGGACATAACGGATAACTTAAATTCAATTTTAAATTGTAACTTTACGTACCTCGTTACTAGCAGCCTGTTGTAAAAACACAAAGCACATAATTTATTCCCTTTTCCTTAGCTAAATGTCAGACTGCCTTTCAAACCACCAAAGATAACAGTTTAATAGGCATACAATAGTACTTTTGCACTAACAAGGTGATTCCCAAAGAGCTATTGGCCAAAAACTTGGCATATCTCAACATTGTATGCAGTGGGTCCTTAGAAAATGTGAGGAAACTGTCAAGTGGAGGACAAAAGAAAATGTGGCAGACCTAAAAAAAAATTACGTACAGCAGTTGAGAAGTTGAAGTATATCAAATTACATAAAAACTGGACTGAAAATCAAGTGCCAATAAATGTTATGTAGTGATTACTCCAGATGTGAAATTTTGGTTTAAATTGTCATTGATATCAGGACAGAGGTACAACAGTGAGTGTCTTACAGTCATAATACAGTGAAGGCTCTCGCTAATCCAGTATGACCTTTATGTGAAAGCAGTGAGGGATCATCTGGACAGAGAATGTAGCAAAAGGCTAGCTCTTCTTTGGATGCTATAGGGTGTTCACATATTCAGAATCAACAAAATTCTTATTAAAACACAACCTGTCACATTTATAGAGTGATTTAGAAGTGTAGCTGTAACGCGGTGATTTCCCTTGTGGGATCAATAAAGTATTTTATGTGTTTACAGGATGATAGCTTTTCTTAGCTGTTAGTGACTGTATCCTTTGCTTTGTGCAGATGTGCTGTGTTTTGATAACAGCTACAGCATCCTTCAGTCCAAGAAAGTGAGATACAAGGTTGAAGTTATTCCACCGGCAGATGTTCTGATGCAATATCCACGCAGCAGTGGTGATGGAAGGCTACAGTGAGGACACCCACAGCTGAGAGGACACAGTTCTGATCTTTGTTACTAGTTAGCTATGTCATCCCATCGGGGCTAAATTACCTCCACTTCTTCCACTGTGTTCAGTATGTATGAATTCATGATACACACATGCATACATTTGTTGTAATTTTATTACGAAGTGAATTAAAACCAGGCTGAATTTGGGAGTCACAGCTGAATCTGCAGCTTTCTTTATCTTTATAGAACTTTTCACTGATTAAAACTTGAAGTTTACCTGACTAATTGCTAAACAACCCATGATAACTGATTTTACTGGTCACTTTGAATCAGCAAAAAAAAAAAGTTTGTGAACACATGTTATTAACAACATCACCAGTCAGACCAAGATGATCATGTATTTGGAGATGTTTTTGTATACATCTGATTCATTTTGAGCTCTGTTTTTGGTATCTACCCCCTCTCAAGGGAATTATCGGGGGGGGGGGGTTCAGCCCCATTTTGATCACAAACTTTATGTAATTCATCTATATGTAGTCTGTGAGTTAAGCTTGTGAGGGAAGTTAAACAAAATATCTAAATCATCAATCAATATATATTTCTCAATCAAACGCTAAATCATGAGATAATTTCTGAACATGTATTTACACATACATTTAGGACACTGTACACATAATTAAACACTGTTAGGTGTGTTTGGCTTCTTAAGGCTTGTAGTTAATGTAACAGATGAGTTACTTTAATTGGAGAGCTTTTCACAGACTTCTGAAGGTTTACTTCAGCATCTTTTAGTGGTAGCTTTAGCTAGTATTGAGTGGTACATACAGTATTATTAAGGGAAATATTAAACAAATTGAGAGAAATAACAGGGTTGGTTTGCCCACGGTGTAATGTAGCCATTGTTTTCCACTGCAAAGAAGAACCATTCAGAACAACAGTAACAAAAAGAAATGTTTATTTTATACAGCATTTCAAACCAGAACCACAATTAACTGTACAAGCTCATCATTTAATACTGAAGGACCACATTTGTAAAGATTTACTGTGCTCTAGTAATTTTTGTAATTAATATGGTAATATATTAGTAAGATGTTAATATATACGTGCTTTGTGAAATATAGTATAATATAAGTGCGTCAGTTTGGGATGGATACAAGACAAAAGGCCTTAAGTTTTAAAAGGCCCACAACATCATGTTTTTGTTGCCATATTTGTCTCTTTATAGTCATCCTGTCTGTGTAGATGTGTTCAGCTCATTGTGGTAGTTTTGCATCTTGTACATAGTTTCTCTGTCTTAATATTGACATGTTTTGTTTTTGTAATCTGGGCCTGTTCTATGAAGAGAGTTGAACATATCCAGGGTGTCTTTTTGTAATCTGGATTCATCCACTAACCTGGTTATTAGCTGGTTATCAGCTTGTACATTTCATTATTTTTTAAAAGAGAGTTTTAGGTTTTATTCTGCTGCCTGGATTGTTATTAGCTGTTTGAGAGCATGTAAAGAATAAATATAAAAATTGAATTCAAATGAATGCTTAGAGCTGGAATTTGGAACATATCCTGCTCAACAACAGTACAATTTACCATGGCAATATACCCTCATAAGAAGCTAACTACCTTCATGATACAAAACACGCCAGGATTAACCAGTGGAAATATGGTTTAAGAGGTTAAGTAATACAAACTTCCGTGTTAGAGGAAACACACTGTAAAGTAATACAGTATTACAAGTGGGCATTTTAGGCACTTTGGTGGGTAAGATTGGAACAGAGCTACTACATTTAAAAGAAAGGTGTCATAAATGTAGACTGTGTAAATTAACCAACTTAGCAATATCACAATTCTATCTTTTAGACATGTGAGAATAATGGATTGTAACTGACTATTTCTTTAAATTTATATTTAAAAGACAGTGTTAATTTTTCACCTATAGACTCAGTTGTGTTTAACAGCCTAAGAGTGAAAAAGAAAAATAACACCAGAACGTAATGGGTAGGCTTAGTTTATGTGCAAATTGCATATAAAGTCCACAAGTACAAATAGTTTTTCTGGTTTGGGATTGTATATTAAAGCTTAAAGAACAATAAAATTGCTGTAAAATTGTTTGGAATTAACAGGAAAAAAATCTTATCTTGGTGTAGGCTCTGCTTGGCTTACCTCTACCTGTAGGGAGAGCCCCTGAGCTACCCATCCACTGACTGACGTTTCTGTATTTGACTGGTGTATGTGTTAAAAGCACATGGTACTACAAACATGCACAGAGGCAAAACAGTCAAATTACTTTCTCGGGCTATTTATCAAATCAAATTCTGAAGTTTTGTTTGATAAGTGTACCTCCACTCTGCTCAAACTGGATAATAATATCCTTTAAAATTACTGATTGCTGCACTATAATCTCTTGAAATTAAAGATGTACATAATTATAATTGATCCACAATCTAAAGAAGCATGACGTCATGATGTAAAATGATGCTGGTTTATTTCTTAATCATTGGAAACTCTGTCATTGTGGAATTTTAATAAATAAATTTTTATTCATAAATACAAACCTTTTGTACTGTTTTTTAATACAGTATCCCTTATGTTCAAGCACATGCAAGTGTGGTATTACAGAAACACATAATAATCAGTATGTGACTGCAAACTTTCAGCTTTAATTCTGTTTGTTTAACAAATACTTTAGATTAGACACTGTTTGGGAATTACATACATTTTTTACATAGTCTCTCATTTTCTGAAGCGTCAGTGACTGCCTGAAGTCTAGAAGCCATAGACATCACCATGAAATCAAACCATGTGAAAGGAACAAACGTTCAATTCGTTTTAAAATTCGCATGCTGTGACTAAAGAAAAATGTCTGTGTCTGTGCACATCGCTTTAAAAGAGGAAATCGGTCAGAATGCTTCGTAATGTGTTCAGTTAGGGTTGTTCCCTGGACCCAGGCATCGGCAATACAAAATAACAACAAATAAACACAAAAAGACTCACATAAAGAGACAAAATGGCACGGAGACAAGACGATATGATAACCATTGTATTTGTATTAATTTTGGCACGTTCGGCCCCTCAGAAATAATTTTACCTCAGACCTAAGTAAAGTTTTGATAAGTGGTGTGGCCACTGGGTGACGCTACAGGAAAGGACTTTTAACGTTATTGGCTTATTACATAACAGCTAATTAGCGAATATTAGGATCTAATAATAAATAAAGATGGCTAATAAACACTGTGCACTGGGGAAAAAAATCCGTGACAATGCAGTGATGCAGTAATGTAATAGTCAACCTCGGAAATTATTAGGCTTTTCCACATCTTAACTGAACTGATACAGACAGCTTATGTAATTATTATCATTATACAAACGGGCTATATCCTGGCTCCACAGAGTTTGTCTCTCAGGAAATAAATAAACGTCCCCTGCATCTAGCATCCCTGGCCGGGCATCGTGCCAGCGGGATGCAGGCTGGTGCAGGATGAGGATGGAGGGCGGGGGGATGTACACAGATGCCATGTGCCTTTACATAACCGCAACTGGCTTTGGATACAATTGGATGAGAAATCGGTGGCCAGGAACAGCAGCAGCAGCAGCAGCGTCCGTCCTGCTGTGTGCCGCAGTGCCCCGAGCCCAGCGGGGAGTAACGTGGCCGGGCACTGAGGCGGGGGGAGTGTGAGTATTGCTGCAGAAAAATGATAGCGAAGCGTCACCAGGAGCGTGTGTGACCTGCAAGGAGCGTGTGTTTGTTTATCAGCTCTACATGTCGCTGTCCGGCAGTCGGTGTTAATGTGTGTATGTGTCCGTGTATGAGTGAGCGTATGTGAGAGATAGCGGGAATGGGGGGAGAGGGAGGAGCTGCTTGGACATGAGTAAATGACGTCAGCTCCCAGGTCGCCGAGCACAGAAACAAACATGGCGACAGAATGGAGTGGACAGCAGGGTTACATTCTCACCGTGGTTATCTGTCTGTGGAGCGGCCGGACAGAGTTGGTGGCAGCCGCTGGGCCCGGTGTCAGCGGTGGAAGGGGAGGCGGCGGCGGAGGCGGTGGGAGCCAGGTGCTCGGCATGAGGCTGGAGAGGAGCAACAAGCCGGCCAGCACCACTGACGAGGGTGTCATCCAGGTGACCGAGGAGAGCTCCGTGCAGCTCCGGTTTTACGGGGTCCAGCTTCACTCGGGCGCCTGGACTGAGATCCAGTTCACAGAGGTCAAGAAGGAGGAGGAGGAGGAGGAGGAGGAGAAGGGGACGGTGGTGGCGGCGGCCCGGGGCGGCAGCGGCATGATGGACGCGCTCGATAAAACTTGTGCAGATTTTACGCAGGACATCACCGTCGGGAACTTCATAAACGTGAGCAGCCGGGGCACGTCGGGACTGCTCAACGTGCACATTAAGCCGCTGCGCAAAAGCGACCAGAAGAAAGAATACGCTCTGTGCACGTTGAGCACGGACGGCAGGTGGGTGCAGCTGGGGGACAGCGATGGCCGGATGCTGGTGGTGGAGGAGAAGAAGTCGCTGCTACCCATGTGGCTGCAGGTCATCATGATCTCGTGCCTGCTGGTCCTCTCGGGCATGTTCAGCGGGTTGAACCTGGGGCTCATGGCGCTGGACCCCATGGAGCTGCGGATCGTTCAGAGCTGCGGCACCGACAAGGAGAAGAAATATGCGAGGAAAATCGAACCGATCCGCAGCAAAGGCAACTATCTCCTATGCTCGCTTCTCCTGGGTAACGTTTTGGTGAACACCACCCTCACCATCCTCCTCGATGACCTCATCGGGTCAGGTCTGGGCGCCGTGGTCGCCTCTACAATTGGCATTGTCATATTTGGGGAGATCGTCCCCCAGGCGCTGTGCTCGCGTCACGGGTTGGCTGTGGGAGCAAACACGATCCTGGTCACAAAGTTCTTCATGTTCCTTACCTTTCCTCTGTCCTTTCCCGTCAGCAAGCTGCTGGATTTCCTGCTGGGACAGGAGATCGGCACTGTGTACAACAGAGAGAAGTTGGTGGAGATGCTTAAAGTGACAGAGCCTTATAATGACCTGGTCAAAGAGGAGCTTAACATGATCCAGGGAGCCCTGGAGCTCAGGACCAAAACTGTGGAGGATGTGATGACTCCCTTAGCCAACTGCTTTATGATCCAGGCAGATGCTGTGCTGGACTTCAACACTATGTCAGAGATCATGGAGAGCGGATACACGCGCATACCCGTGTATGATGAGGAGCGGTCCAACATCGTGGACATCCTGTATGTGAAGGACTTGGCCTTCGTGGACCCGGACGACTGCACAAACCTAAAGACCATCACCAAGTT